TGAAAAACTGTATTCATTTTTTAATTAAAGGTTGTATCTTTGCATTGTTCGCGCCATATCGCATTTTTCATGAATTGAAGTTAAAATTGGACCAGTGAATCAGAATAACAAACTGAATCAACTCAGGAAAACAACTCGCCACCGTGTCGCTTCAATTCATATGCAATTAACTGCGCGTTATTTGCGTTCATCGCGAAACACAATGAAAGCTCGTCGTTTACGCTGGAAGGACGGAAAAATTCTGCAGCATGTCACGTCTAAATAACACGGACAATAACAAAGAATTGTTTTTCATGACTTGTAAGTTTTAATAAAGCCTTTATAGGAATTCTTCAACAACTTTCAAAATTAAGTTTTCTAGTGGTTCTGTAATTACCCACAACAATAAGAGAAGATCCAGGATAATATTACAATCTAAAAGTTTATCTCACAATATTGCACAATGTAGCTACAGATGAAAACTGGAAACTCTCAAGTAACAGTAATAATAGCAATTTGCTTCAAAATAAAAATTTCGATATAACTGGAATCTACGTCAAAGAAGAAAACTGTTAAACACTTTAGCATCTTTGTATACTTTTTCAATTTAATAAGATGTCATGGATAAAATATAAATAATGAATGCTAAAGTACATTAATAAATATATGCGCATAATTTATTTCTTACATCAACAGTTTCGTTTAAAGGTTGAGGTAAATGCAAAAGTATCGCTGGGGCGAGTAACAAATTTTAATAAAGTCGTTTTCGTAAACAGAATATAATTTGACTGCTTTGAAATTTATAATTTATATTTCAGTATTCTGTTTACGGAAGAGTAATAATTTTCTCATCTTTAAAACCACAAAGAAAATATTGTTTGTTCTTCTGCCAATATTAAATATCAAAGAAAACTTTCTTTTCGCGTCGAAAACTTTCTAAAAAGCGATTTTTTTCGTTTTCTGCTTCTCTGGTTTCATCGGCATTGACAAATGAGGACAAATATTACGGGTCCTTGGTTTAATCCCATAAATTGCTTTGGTCCGTAGGTGAACCAAAATCTCTGCACGCACCACCGAGTTAGAACTTAAATTATACAAACAATATTCGAGGATTTTGTGGTAGATGCTTTCGTCTTCTATGGAAAGCATAGATAGCAATAGAACCCGGTGCTTGTTTACGTTTATTGTGCGTTGTTAAGCAAAGTAAACGCATTCAATGTGACACTTTGGAGCTTATATTATCCTCCGAAGATCCAAGAAGTGTTGGCATTGTTTACTCGGAGCTTACACGTTAATGAATCATAAAAACTGTTACCTACTTCGTGCTCGCTAAACATACTTAATGAAAATGGATGGCAGAAAACGAAATTTGTTTTGCTGCAGGTACACGATTACAAGCAGAAAAAAAAGTTTAATCAGTTTGAATAAAATTGAATCATTTGCGTCGCCCAGGCGTGTGTTTAATCTAAATATATTCGCGAATGTTGAGCACAAAACGAGGAAATTAAAGCTTAGAAATTATATATAATTTTGATTATTTCAAGTTTAAGCACGTGTATCGATTTTGCAATGAATGGTTTAGAATTTAGTTTACCTCTCTGAGGTTACCAGTGTTTGATTTGTAGGGAGTAATAACATATTAATATTAATAATCCCTATGTTGTATTATATATCGTATAATTAAAATATCAACATGAATCTCAAAATTAAATTCAAGCATAAATACTTGTTTTAAACGTAAAGGTTCATTCCAAGGTAATTAACTAATTACTTGGGAACAGTCCGAAAAGCCTAAAATTGCTCGAGCTCTCAGTATGAACGTGCTCGGGGTGAATTAAAGTCCGAGTGCAGGATGTGCCCGGAAAGTGGAACGGGTCAGTTAGACTATTCCAAGGACACCGACGCTACCGTGTGTGCTAGTTTGAAACGTTTGGTGCGATCATCACTTTGTTGCCTATTTCTCAACTTGATCGCTTTTTCTCGATAGCCCGACAAAAGTATTGACCACCGCAGACGAACTAATATATAATTGACTGTTTCATCGTATTAACCGGTCGGCACGAATTGTACCGATTACTATAAATAGAATTCGGATATAAATGAGTTATTGTACAAGTTACACGTGCACTTAGCGCTTGAAGTACTTGGCAATTTCAAATATTGCTTACTGGTGACATCAAAATAATCGTTGATGTTGGAATGAAATTGAATTTAAATAATTAATTTGGACCAGTATTATTACTTAACTATTTTAGGTAATTATCGCAACTAGACTATTGCCTTTGAGAGCATCTACGCTAAATATCATATTATTGAACGATAAAGACATGCTAATTTGCTTGATGACAGAAAATACAGTAGATACAAAATAGTTTTCTAACAGTTTGTACTAGTAAACTTTCTTATGTTTCACTTGTATCGATTAGGCAGATATAGGTTGATGAATTTTTCTCCTGAATATGAACTTCGTAAAATTGAAATAATAAATGAATAATTCTGTTTTGTGGTTACGTGAGGACTTTTAAATTAAAAACTAGAAAAAACATAAATTGAATGCTGACTTTTTTCAATCAGTGCAAATTGTGTTTTTACTTAATGAACCTTGCATCTCTAGGCACTGTTAAGCATTGCATGCTAAATTTCAATTAAACTTTCAGGCGTTTTCTTAATTCCAATTCAAACATAACTTATAAGAGCAATTACACTGTAATTCAAACTTTCACATAAACTTTTGTTGAGTGCTTAGTTTATTTATTATCTAATTTTTACTTGCAAGTGATTTTAAAATGTAAAATTTCATTAACATCAGCAATGTTAATAATATAATTTAATTTAATCTTATAATTATCACTTCTTTGAAGTGCGAAAATAGAATTTCTTACCTTATGTTTTTATTCAAAGCATCTAATTTATTCCACCTCGTCTCTTTTTCATTAGTGGTAAAGCATTACGTCTTTGTGCTCTGTTCATTTGCCTTTAAACGACACGTTTAATTCAGCGAAGTTTTTGTCCAAGCCCAAGAAATGTCGAGATGGATTAAAGCAAAGCTTGGTGAAAAATCACCATACAATCGACTGAGCTTCGAATTTGGGATTTGACGTTGGGAGTTTCATTCAAACGGTGAAAATGTTGATTAATCGATATTTAAATGTGCGCCGAACGTGCCACTGAAGTGTGACGTTATTAATTAATGTTTATGCATTCAAATCAATAATAATCAATTAAAAATAATTTGTTTTTGTTATCTGGTAAACAAAACCCTCAACAAAGTGTAATTTATGTGCGTGGCAGATGCTTCTCAGTGGGGAGTAATTTAAATTGATACATTATAAATTGTCAGCAGGAAATTTAGTTGAGAAATTTAAGTTTTAAACTATTTTCATGGAGTTTCAACATTTTTCTATTAATTTTTTTTTGTTTGAAATTGCAAAGTAAAATTTTTACCATGACGAAATAATAATTAATTTCTACAAATTAATATTTAATCCAATTTAATCAATTATTGCGTTGTACAGTATTATTTATTTATTGTAATGAAATTTAATCGTTATTATCCTGCAACAGTAAAGCCCTGTTTTCAATGCTTCGATTCCAATATCCCATTAACCTATTTAAAACAGGATTACGAGTACTTGATACATCCCTATATTTGTAACGAGCAATCACTTTACGTTTAATGTGTCGTCGATTTGAACCGTTAATAAATTAAGTAATTATTGCAAAACACAATAAATGTTTATTTGATTTTTCTTCTGAAACTTTGTGGTTAGGTTAATTTCATATAGTATAACCTCAAACTTCCCCTCCTAAGTCTATACAGGCTTAGTAAGTTTCTCCTGTTCATATATACAGTTGGCATTTCGTGTGCGCCGCACTTTTGTCTATCGTCTTCTTGTTTTCGAAGTCATATGAGCCTCACGGCGGTTTAGTGACGAGCACTTTGTTTACTGAGAGACTATTAGCGACCTGACTATGCCAACTTGTTTAGTTCTCTAGCACTCTTAGCATTTCGGGGCAAATCCTTCCATCCTTGAGCTGCCTACGTAAAACTTTTCAAGTTGCTGCAGTCTCTTGATGAAAATCCGTCTGTGGGTGTACAATACTCGTACCTCTAATCCAGGATACTCGCAGTCAGTGAAGCGTGCCGTCCGGAAGGACGGCGAATCTAGTCGACGTTTGGCTTGAATCACACATTGTTCAAAGCATACACTAGGAGTACAGCGACTGTATTCTGATATTGTTTGAAATGATAGACTACGAGATTGCTACAGTTGCTGTTGTTACAATTGTTTTTCAGATGGATCGTTACGAGAGGGACTTTTTTGGAGATTAGTTGATTTAGGAGACACTTTCTTTTTATGTTTTCTTTTCGTAAGTGTCTTAGAAAGTCAAGTTATTTTTATGGTGCTATTTCATTAGTGCTTCAAGCTTATTCTTTTGGGAATTTAGTGGTTAGATCCCTGTGAGGATAGAATTCAATTAAGTTAAAATTCAGTGAAAGCGTTCTTGGAATAAAAAGATTTTATCGCAAAGATTTTTGAAATAAATTAGTTTTTAGGTAATTTAATTATTTAGTGCTTTCGTGATTGTGTATTATTGTAATTCACTTTTAGAAAAAGAGTAAATTGTCTCTTATTTCCCATTAAATTAACTATGCACGAGACACATTATCTTCGCCTAATTGCTTAATTAAAGTGCTCATTTTGCACATTAGTTGCTTGATGTAATTAAAATGTCATCAATACTCATAATTAAGTGAACCTACTTTGAGTTCATAATATATTTTGTGTTAAGTTAAAGTCAAGTAAGTAATGAAACATAATGGATACATATTTTTGTAGTACTTATCAAAGCTTGGAATAAGGATTATTTATTATGAATTGAAATAACTTTTGACATTGTTAAAGTCAAATTACTGGAATTTTTTGTTATCTTGAACTCACATACATTCTTTTATTTAATTTTATACCTTACGGTTTACCAGTTTCAAAAAATACCTAGGATGTTTAGTAATCCAAACATTTTTTAGATTCGCATTTTATTAACATACTTTATTTTTATTTGTGATTTAAAAATATATGCAGCATTCCATGCCCAAATCTTTGCAATCAGGTGTATTGTCTTTAGTGCGTTTTCCTTGGCACTTTGTCTCGCATTGACCACCTTGACTCTTACATCTATCTTCATCTGAAATAACAATCGTTAATTTGAAAATTAAGTAAATATTATTTTGTTTCCTTACATGGGTTACAGCAGATATTGTTTTTAGAACCGGTGCACAGTCTTGCATCAGCTGAATTCATATCGTATCCCTTGTGACAGGTGCTTTTGCATCGCCCACCGAAAAGTGCACAGTCTGAATCTGCGACAAAAACAATAAATAATTCAAATGATAACATGAATAAATCAGCACTTACTTTCTTGTTCAGTTTGTGCATTGCTCAAATGTATGAGCACACCAAACAGCAAGCAGCAACCAAACACAACAGAGATGATTTTATTCATAGTTGTAAGAATCGAGTTTTTGCACTGAGTTCAGGCGCGCTACGGGTAACGTTTTTAAATACTTATAGTCGTGCAGGTTGACACGTCACAGCGACGTAATACAAACCTAATTAATGCCAACGGACTTACCTTTGTGATAAATAACTGGAGTTGTGTTATGAATGCCTACACTTGTAATTTTTTTTATATCTTATTGTTATAATCGTTTTTGTTTTAAATTTTGTATGTTGTTGCTACGAAGCGTGCTGCTGGTATCGACTTCTTATCACATCTGAAATTGATGTATGGTGTTATAGTTTCCAGCAAATACTGTGCGGGACAGCCGGCTGTTTTTTTCTGATTTATATATTAACACGATGCAAAATTTAAGCAATTTTACAATGTTGTTTGATTCGTCGCTAATGTGTGTTTGAATGAAAATAAATAATCACATGTGTGTTGATGTGTCATGGATTGATAAACTTTCACTTTTTATGAGCAGAATGGCAAATCCCATGATCACGTAAACAAAACCTGAACGTTCACCTTGTTTATAAATACAGTACGTTACGAGAATATCTCTTAAAGTCAATGTCTTAAATACGTAAGATCAGATTAATTGCTAAGTAAACATCTGTTGTTTAGATTTTCTTTTAATAGCTGCGAGGATGTCTAATGATAAATGAGCCGATTTATTTTACGATTAACGCCGACTTAGTCAGTAGAAACATGAATAGATACAGATTAAATTTATGTACTTGATAATCAAACAGAATTTATACTCCGAAACAAACATTGTAATTTTCTGGAGCGTTTCCGCAGTAAATCGCGCAATTAAAAACGATTCAATAGCGAAATTCAAGTGATACTAAATATTCCCGGCATTTATCAACAAATTCCAAATGTTCCACAACGCAATGCTTTGAATTCCGTTTGTGTACTTAACTTTACTTTATATGTGCCATTTTTTTTATTTGTTTAGATGATGTATTTCCCGGAGTTTACAACGTAATTCACAACATTCGAGTGATATTTTCATTTTGATGATCAGTTAATCAATTCGTTGCTTTCAGTGAATAACACGCTAACGTTACAACGTGATCCAACTGGTTTTAATTCACTGTACACTGAATAATTTTATCAACATTTACATTTTGTCATTGCGCACATGCCTTTTGTTTGTATTATTCTGCGCTGGAATCTATTTTGTAATTTTATTTATTTACTATACGTTGTGTAATGTTTGGTCAAATTGTTGAATGTCTATTTTTGATTTGGGAAAACGTTAAATTTACTTTTTTGGTAAAGATGTCATTTGTATAAATACAAGGTTGTTGGAGAATACTCTGGGTATTGCGATAGCAAACAGAGTTATTATATCATGAACCATCCTGGGATTTCCATGCCAACCGTGCGTGTAATATTGTTAAAATTGCATTTTCACTCCACGTCGGCTCGGTGCGCAAAAGGTGCGGAAGTCACAATTCGCTCGTTTGTGCAAATTAAAAATGTCACGATATCGCAAGCTGTTGGGTGTTAAATTAAGTATGCTAGGCGTAATTTATTGCCCAACTTAATGTTGTTTATCGTAAAAATATAAGTACAGGCATAAATATTGTGTTAAAATAATAACAATATAATGTTGATAATATAACGAAACATTATTATAAAAGTTATAAAAATGAATTTATCGGGAGTTTTATGGTTCTTTTTATAAATAAAAATGTTACCTTAACCAAAAGTTTCAATTAAATGATAATATCGTCAAGAGCAGTTCTGCGAGTTGTTTGCCTATAGCAATAAAAACAAAAATACCGATACACAACGATATTTTTATCAAATAATAACGAGACGTGTAACTTGTTATTACGAATTTTTGTACTCTTCTTTTCTAGAAACTACAACACTTTTCTTAGAGATATGTTTCTGTCATGCTGAATGACATGTACCTACTCGGGTTATTTGTGCATTCGTGCATTGAAAATCCTAGAACCTAGTTAAATTTGCAAATTGTTCATATATCATTCCACATGAATTCAGCACGAAATCAATATCACTTGTAAATACAAGAATTCTCTTTTTAATTCATTTCATGAATAGATTCAATACATGTTTTTTTTGATTTTATCGCATTGGTAAATACTTTTCAATTGTAGATCAAATTAAAACATTAACTATTCATTATAACTGGAACGTGTACTTTGTGACGTCGGGAATAATCAATCTTGATTCGTGAATCATAGATTCCGCCAATTTTCCGCCCACCGCCCTAATAATCCTGAGAAGTTCATAATACACAGCGCATCAAAATTTACGTAACTTCTGCATACTCAGCGTAGGTTCTGTTTGATTGCGTATACAGTATTTACATTTATATTGATGTGCAAATGCAACACATAAACAATCATTGTTACGGTAGGTCAAGCTCGTAATAAGCCTGATGTATCGATATCTATTTCTGGCAATGTCTAGACACAATGTTTTGTGGACGTCACCGCTAGTAAATGTCTATTATTAAACGTACCTACGCAAAAGAGCGCATTGTGTGGGTGTTTTGTAAGTGGTTTGATTAAAAATAAAAATTTAACTCCAGGGGATAGTTGCAAGCGACGTTAACCTCATAATCGCGGTACTGTTACAGGATGATTACGATAGTGTACGCTTGTGGCATCAAAGTATATTCACAAAGTCAAATATTTAAAGGCGTTTAAAATATTCACTCCGGCACTGCAGTCGAATTAGTGGCAACCACTTCAATATTGAAATTGTATCTATCTATAGTGTGTTTTTAATCAAGAGAGTTAATTAAAAATGTTTCTGTTTTAATTTCAACAACATCAAATGCATGATATTACCTTTTTAATCATATACATTTTTTTGCGCTCAATTTGCAATTTAAAGTTATGGGTTTTTTAGGTGGTAATTATAAATACGAAACGCTTTGTATATTCCATGACACATGTCTTTGTAGGTAAACAGTGGGATACCTATGTTGCCATAGCGGCCAGGTGACCCAGAAAGTTTGTAGAAGGAAAATACAGGAATATTATTCCGATTAAAAAATTAATGGCCCCTTGTAAACACACTCGGCAATAATTGAATACCTAATTTCGAGGAAAAGAAGAACTCAATGTACACAGGAATGCGTATTGTTGGCTGCATTCCCATTTCTGATTGATGATAATCGATACTAATTCGATCTCCTTTTGTGGATAATCGAATTGGGACTTGCGCTAGAGTGTGTTAAACCCACTTCAGATTAAAATTCGTAAAGTTCTCGTCCGAGTTTCAGCTTGTAACAGTCGTGGAACACGAATGAAGTGAGCAACTGGCGGCGAAATTGTGATCCTTAAAGATTTTCTTGACGCAGTGTCCTTTCGTCCCTCTAACGGCAGGACTCGCAAACAGTTAGACTGGTGGTGCTTGAAAAGTAGCATAGAGGGCGATCGGAGTAACAAATATATAAGATATTTTATTGAAAATGTATTATTTGATTTTATTACTAACATAGTCGAAAAACAAATTATTATTTTTAAAATTTGTTATATTTGTGATATTATTTACGTATCCAGATATAAATTAAATATTTAAAATTTATTTAATAAACACGAATTATTAAGTAATTATTTTGAGAGAATATTAATATTTTTGTTTTTAAAATAGCAATATAGATATTTGTGGCCTTCAGGCAAAAAGCGGAAACTCAAACATTTGGGGCGTACATATTTGTGATACATAACAAAATCTGGAAAATCGATTTCCTCCAATATATGAACACATTGATATTACGTTAAAGACGGTTTGTGTGCTCGGCACGTAACGCCAGGTACTTTATTAGCAGCTTATATTGTAACAACCAAACCTAATTCACATGATAGTATTTGCAAAACAAAGCACAAAGTTCTTAGACTTTCACACACTGACAGAATTTCCATGATACGTGTCCTACTTCAATTCCCAGCCTGCGGTCGAGTGGCCCCAAAGGCACGCTTTAGCGAATATATGATGATGGCCTGTCCAAACGCCATTCATAAACGTGGCATACAATTGTTTTATGCCAATGGTTCTTTGTCTGTGAAAAAACAATGATATAAAATAAATTCATTTAATAAATTGTGTTATTTTCGCAGGGAGTTGATATATCTACGATCGAGTAAATGTTGACACTGTCGATTGGATTTTGTGGTAAAGTTAATGCCAATAAGCTAGTGATTAACGGAAACTGAAAGCGTTAGAGTGATTGAGTGGGAAGATAGCCCAAGACAAACTAATCCTCAGTGATAGCATCAATTAATACTGAAGGACGATTAAAATAAGTTAAAGTTTATCGTTTTATATTGAGTTGGAATTTTTATATTGATTGACATAATAAAAAGCAATTACTTTAGCAAATAAAATGAAAACAGCACGAACGTCAGCTAAGAAAAAGATGCATAAAGAAACATAAATCAGTTTTTGATCGGCAGATAAGACAGTCGACTGGCAAAACGTGAAATGTTTTCCGAGATGTACCTTAAAATGTAAAGAAAATTCAGTTCTCAATTTTCTCTCAAATTTTAATGGATTTTCGCTACATTTACATATTAAAAACATTTTCATATATTAATATTTTGATCTTTATGCTTCTGATAAAAACTGGTAAAGCATTTAATAGCATTTTATTTACCGTCATAATAAAATTAAATTAGAATGCATGCAATTTTTAAGCCCATTACCTCGGCTTATTGTCATGACGTTAGAACTAATTTCTACTTCTGCTAGTGAAAATTCAGTGAACACTAACTGCTTGTTCTAACATGCATTTTAAAACCAAGCATGCGAAATAATTGTTATTATATTATAGTACTCACCGTGGTTGAAATTTCAACTAATGTAATTAATTAAAACATTTGCGTTGGTGAAATATAAATTAGAAGCAACGGTGTTAAACAGAAAAATGAAATTACTCGCACTGAAATTAATGTATATTTACTTTTGACTAAAATATAAGTGTTACATTTCAAGAGAAAATCTATGCTCCTCATATAGACAATAATTTTCACATCAAACAAATTACACAACTGACTGAAGTATAATAGAAATAAATTTAATTTTTGTGAAGATGACTAAATGATTACTGGTTGTACACTTGTCATATTGTAAAAGTTCACACTAAGATATTTTTGGTTAACTTCACTGGTCAATTTATTAACTAATGTATAATAATAATAGTAATAATGTATCCATTAGCTTGTCATTCTTATCACACATGTACCTATACATTAAATTGATTTGAGTTTTGGGTGTTTTCTTAAACGATATTATAAAATCAATACCAACAAAAACCATTAACGCTTTATACAAGTGAGTAACAAACAGTGAGAAA